GCGGGGCATAGAGGACCTACAATAATGTACAGTATTTGAAAAATAATGTGTTTTTTGAACATTAAAGCATGTCAACATATTCTGTTACACCAAATACACAAAATAATGATCTTTAAAAAAGCATCATATGACCCCTTTAACCTTAACCTAAGCCTAACTAATACTCTAATGAGAGTTAGTTGACATGTAGTTGCAAAGTTGCTTATAGTCAATAGACTACGGGGACCATCAAAATTAAATTTAACCTAACATATAAACATTGAATTTTTTTCAGTTTAAAAATTAACTAGCTGACATCAAAATTAATTTTAGCCTCACAGGGAACACTCAAATAACACTCCACATCTAACCACTTACAAGATGTAGTAAGATACTGTGCAGATCTTAAATAAACAATGTCAAGATATATAGTCCATTATAATGTCATGGTTTTGTTCCTGTTTGGTTTAGCTCTTTAGCTAATTTGCTCGTTAGTCATTATTAGTTAACTCCCTTCACCTGTTTTCCCCTCATCAGCTGCGTTACTTAGTCTTCTTTCTTTTCAGTATAGTTTGTCGGTTATTGTTTGATGGTACGACTACCATGAGTTGTTTCCTTGCCTGAGTTTCATGTGGATTATAATATTAAAGACTTTCTTTGTGGATTATTCTTCCTCGTCTTCTTTGCCTTCCTTAGAGAGACCGTAACATATAAATGTAAAATTGTAAATTATAATTGTAAATGTGTGTTATAAATAATCTAGGGCTGTCAATTGATTAATTGCGATTAATCGCACACTTCATGAAATTAAGCATAGACAATTTATCTTGTTGCAAATGTTTATTTTGTCATCATTTGCTATATCCAGCAAAGTAAACCAAAAGATTGAAGGGTGATTCTCAAAAATCTATATATTTTTTATAAATACTTATCAAAAGTTAAAAAGCATTAGAATATTTGAAGGTTTGTTTGTTTTGAGTTTGAACACATAATACTTTCTAAAGGTGCAACAATGAATAGATAAGTATTATAATGTATTATAAATGTGGTTACATTTATTAATGAAATCATACAATGCGTTATAAGGACTATGAGTAAAGTGTTACCAAAAAAAAAAAAAAATGAATATTTTCTAAGCCCAAGGCCATCCAAGATGTATATGACTTTTTTTCTTCAGCTGAGGAAGAAATGCACGTTGATAAAGTCCAAGGCAAGCAATTATTTTTTATATATTATTTTATTTTTTTCTGAAAATGATTGATCATTTTGCTAGAAAATACCCTTATTTGTTGGCTGGGGTCATGTGAATGGTCCCACTTTATATTAGGTGGCCTTAACTACTATGTACTTACATTTAAATTAATAATTTGATACAATGTGCTTATTGTGTACATACATGTTTTTACATTATACTTAGATTTTAACAAATACCTGCATGTAATTACATCTGTAATTACATTTACACTGTTGACCCAGCCCTTACACCTTAACCCACACTTAAACCTACCCATACCACCAAACCTGTCCATAACTTTACCCGTATCCCACCTCAATAGCAGCAAAAGTGTTTTGCAATACATGATGAACACAATAAGTACATTGTACTTATTTTTTTATTTAAGTACATAGTAGTTAAGGCCACCTAAGTGGGACCATGTGAATGACTTTGAAACTGCCTAAATATGTATTTTGGACCATCAAATATCACTTGCATTAGATCAGGGCTGTCCAAACTCGGTCCTGGAGGGCCGGTGTCCTGCAGAGTTTAGCTCCAACCCTAATTAAGCACACCTGAACCATGCTAATCAAGCTCTTACTAGGCATAGAAACGTCCAGTCAGGTGTGTTGAGGCAAGTTGGAGCTAAACTCTGCAGGACACCGGCCCTCCAGGACCGAGTT